AAAAAGTCAAGAGCCCAACTAAAGCAAACACTTATCACCACAATGGTGACATAAAACCAAACTATTATTTTCAATAAATCATCAACATCTTAACCTCTGTTAATTCTCAATAAGAAATTCTGTAGACGTCTACCAGAAATAAAGTCAGCCTGGTTAATAAGTGAAGCTGGTAATGCTGTTTGTGGAGTTGTTTAATCAGATCTTGAGAGATTTTGTGTATTTTATCTGCAGTTGATTTCATCTAAGGCTGTGGCTGGAAGTAGTTATTGTGTTTCTCTTTCCTTCAATGATTCTGCTTGTTAACAATAATGCTCAATCATTATTTAATCAATTAATTATCTCATTAACTACAACACTGATATGTGTTCCATTGAACAGCCTGTAGTGTGCACACTGAGCAGTGTTCATTTCATCTGGGCAAACCCATGTGGGACCTACATGGAAACCGTGGACAAAACTGGCTGGGTCCCAGTTAGATAGCCCAGGTCAAACCCATGTGGGCCCCACATGGCTGTGCTGGCTGGGTCTGTGCCCATTATATTTTTTTTAATTCACGTGCCTCTTAATCTTTCATCAAAATAAACTCTCCTCCCTCTTGCAGCTCATCTCTTCTCGTCTCTGATGATCTGTTTACTTGCGTGAGGGCGGGGCAACCTGTCACTCACACGAGATCAGCCAATAGCGAACCACAACCATCCAATCAATTCCACATGGACAAACTCAAGCCCCGCCCTACTCGGATAATACAGTTACTATAGATAAAAAAAGACTTCCATTTCATGCCGCCTTTAAAACTCATCTTTGATCAACAAAATTACACATTTAGTGTATTTACATTCAGTTAGATTTACTTGTATTTTTTCCTTGATAAACAATTCTTCATGCCTTAAAATAGCTTGAATGTAACTCCACAGCCTTGCCTCATTTAGTAGACGCGGTTCTATGAATATGCAAATGAGCCCCACCTCCACTCACTCACACCAGCTCAGGCCCTGTCCCAAATGGCGCACTTCATGCGGACTTTCGGTCTCGTGGACTTAAATTGCGCGTGCTCACCGAGTCTACGAGTCCGTAGGCCGTCCCATTTAGCATTTTAACGCTCTGAAGTGTGCTCAGCAGCGCCCCCTTTGTACCCTCGAAGCGGTCTTCCGCGAAGCCGCATAGATGCAGGCTCGCTCCACGCACTTTAACTACCCAGGAATCCTTGTGAAAGGCCAATCAGACAACGGATGGGAGGAGATTTCGCTCACGGACAATTGTTAACATGGCTGAGAAGAAAATATTTAAGTGTAATTATCATTACGGCTTTTATGACAAGTTTATACAAACATTATGATCATCGACCAGTGGTTGATGTCTCAAACATAGGCTAATAAAGCGAGCTGAATAATACGATCGCATTATGATTCATTAAATAAATAGAACAGACTGTCAGGGCTTTACTGAGTCATATGTAAACACAACAACAATAGGCAGCATATTTCCCCGAACCTGTAGCTCCTGTCCATAACAACAATCAGACCGTCTTCCTGTTTCCGGCGTGACGATCGAGTCTGTCCCAAAAATACCTCTCAATGCGGACTCGCGCTAAGGGCCCTATAGGTCTGCACTACATGACGTCACCGAAGTGTGGACTCTGAGGAAGTCCACAAGTCCAGCCATTTGGGACAGGGCCTCAGAGATCCACTGGTTGATGATCACACGTTGACCTGATTGGTTACAAGGTAGTGTGTGACGTCAGAAACACCAGCGATTTCAAAGCGTGTTTTTGAGACTGTCTTTGGTTCACTGCAGTTTTAAACAGAAAATACTCAACAATGCTGTCGACTTATGAATTTACACATGGTTTGTCACATATAAACATTAAAAGCTTGATTTTCACCACAGGGGGACTTAAAAAAAAATGAGTTGAATCTTGTACAACGTATAAAAAAAGTTGTAAATTATTAACTTATTTTAATGAGTTAAAGCAATTTAGCTAAAAACATGTTGTCATATCATAAAGTGTTATTTGACAGTGATTGGCAAAAAAAGGTCTGTTTAGCCTTTATGGTTCCAGAGTTATGAACCAAAATGCAAATGTACTTAGGCTATAGCGCCACCTAATGTCCGACGTGTGTGTGTGTGTGAGTGTGTGTGGGATCTCTATGACTTACGGCCTCTGATGATTCACATCACTCTCAGTGCTTGGTGCGAGATGGTGGATAAGAGATGTGAAAGCCTTTTCACGGCATTTCTCAAAGCAGTTTATTATGACTGAAGGTGTGGTTTCTATAGCCTTGCCATATATAGTATGCAGTCGCTCGCTGTGCTGATACTCGTGTGTCTGTAACCCTTCTCACATCCAGATCACTGTGTTACAACTCAACACACAGATCACAGCAGAAACGCCTAGCTGCATTACATTATAGATAGCCTTCTCCATAACAGGCTTTCTCTGACCGCTCTGAATTATTCACACTCTCTCAGCTGGGTGGGTTGAAACTCCTGAATTCATTTCAAAGCAGTGGCTAACAATGTCCCACTTTACACCTGGCTGAAGCGCTTGGAGATGTGGCATTCATTTCTAGTTATTACATTTTAATTAGCTTATTATAGGCTTGTGGTTTTAATATGTTAACTTGTTCTTGTTTTAAAGACCCACTGATGTGCCTTGAAACGCGCAGCATTGACTGAAACAGGAAGATGGGGCGGGGCATATCAAGCAGCTCCTCCCCCTTTTTTTAACAACCAATAGCGTTTTGTTTATGTCACATCTCGGCCAGAGCTGTTGAGCTTGATAAAGCCGCAGTTTCTAACCGTTTCTCCTCCTAATACCTACCATATGGGCCATTCACCATGTAGAACATAGTAATTGTGTGCCGATAGACAAGTGACCGATTTCAGCCTCAGATTCAGCGGGTTATAGTGTAGGGGGCGGAGCTTCAGATTCTAGAGAGCATTTGATTGGACGGAAAATCTGATGAGAAGCTGAAGTGCAGAGTGATGTCATCTAAATCACTGATCCATATTGGTGGAAGTGAGAGACTGTACGTTTTGAATGCTTACATCTTCTAAATGCGAAATTTGTCATTGTTTTTGGAGCACACTAGCTTATAGACGAATCCGGTGAAACTACCGGAAGTAAGCGGGCGCCATTACTGAGCTGTTGCTGGGTAGCGTTGCGCCATTGCCTCCTATTGTTTTAGTTGCAACTTGCATCCACTGGAATAAACAGCCCGCGATTTACGACTGTCACTAACGTTACAACTTTTATAATGTCGAGTGGGAAAACATGTTCCGTTTTAAATTGTTTCAATGGCGGCAGTAAAGGGCGCATTGGGGCAGTAACGTTAGTAACATTACTGTTATGTCTGTTGTTAATGTTTGATTTGCTTGACTGTGACAGAATTTTTTTTAAATAACAAATTAAATTAAATATAATGCAGTTTTTGTTATAATAACAATTATTTAATGACATAAGTAAAAAAAATATAATAAATATGTAATATAGTGCTCAGCAAAATCTCCTCTCTAGCTAATTTTTCTATTCAATTAACATGCTATGGTAATTAAATGGCTTTCCTGAGCTAAATGTAACGTTATGTGACATAATTGTTCTCCTGCTGTTATATTGACCTCTTTCCATGGTTTAAAAACACTAATTTGTCGATATTATGTATACTTTCTAGCTGCACCTTACCCTTGCCTTTTGCAATGTGAAAATGAGATAAATAATGGACACAAATGAAAAACATGAATTCGTTTATTTGATGTCATTCGTTTATTTATTGTTGCCAAATGGACAGATCTTTTTATAGTTTCCTCGTTAGCTAACGTTAGCCTAGCTGGCTTACCAAGCTATTTTCATAAATAATCTGTAAGATCGTTTGTACCTTCATCTGTGACTGGAAGCCACTGTCTAACATCATCAACCCAACAAGTCATTCAGCCTGGCTGTAGCTGTCATCGAGGGTGCGTTATCACGGAGGTTTGTTTACATACCGGTAACAGCTCAGTAATGGCGTCGCCACAAGATGGCAGCCTACACAGAACGCTCGTCGGATTCGTGTATAGATAACAGTAAAGCCCCTTTCACACAGCGCGTTAATCCCGGGAAATTGCCGTAATATTGCAAGAGTGCCTTCTGTGTGAACGCAAACACGTCCCGGGATTGATGCCGGGATCGATGCCAGGGTGGAGACCCATTGCCGGGATCAGTCCCGGAATGCGCCGTGTGAACAAAAGCCAGGACCAATGCCGTAAGGGGTGTGTCGTAGTAGCGGACAAATCCCGGGACACATTATCCGTGTATTTTCCAGAATCTCTGTGTGAAAGGGGCTTAAGGCTAACATATTTATACTTAAAGCCATAAAAACTTAAAAAGATTTATTTCATGGGGACTGCTAAAGTCTTTTCTACCCTATATTGTAATGTATAGGCTATCTGAGTGAAACGGGGAAAAAAGTAGGGTGGGGCTTGATTTTGTCCATGTGGATTTGATTGGATGGTTGTGGTTTACTATTGGTGGATCTCATGTGAGTGACAGGTTGCCCCGCCCCCATGCCAGTAAACACGTCATCTGAGAAGAGCTGAGATGAGCTGCAAGGGGGAGGGGAGGTTATTTTGTTTACAGATTACGAGGCACATGAATCATTTATAATAAACTGTAATATCCCATTACAAATAAGAATAGTCCATTTTGATTTCACGGTGACTTTACTATAAAAGACTACTAACAATATAGCCCAATGGACTGCAGTTCGTGTGTGTGTGTGTCCAGTGAAAGCAATGTAAACAGAAAAGTATTCATCTGAGCAATAACTACGCGACGCCTTCCTGCTATTCTGACCAATGAGAGCGCTCATGCCGATCGCTAGCGTCCAACCACGCGCGACGCGTTGCTTTAAATTACGTCACTTGAGCCGATAGGTAATTTGTCGATGGACCAATGGGACGCCCGTGTGTACTCGCTGTTTTGGCTCTGTAAGCCAATCAGAGGCCGCGCTCGGGTTTGTTGTTAGTGATGATGATGACATGAAAATATTTGTTGTTACTGGAAAGGAGAGCGAGGACGGAGAGAGTGTGAAGCAAGCAATTGGGCCGATCGCTTTCAACGAACATACACGCATCGCAACGGAGATTTCCGGTCACGGGAGTCGCGGAGGAGCGAATGTCGGTGAATATGGACGAACTGAGACATCAAGTGATGATTAACCAGTTTGTTTTGACTGCGGGCTGCGCGGCGGATCAGGCGAAGCAGCTTCTGCAAGCGGCGCACTGGCAGTTCGAGGTAACCGTCGATCAATCATCCTTACCAACACTGTCCACCATATACTGTATATTATCCTTTAAACCCGCAGGTCATTAGATGTGGACTGAGATGCGTCCATGTGCGTGTTCGTTCAAAGCGCCCTTTCATCGCGCCGGATGCATTCACCGCGTTATGTGAAGCCACGTCGCATTTGTTTGCTTGTAAACAATGAGCAAAGCGTTTCGTGTTGACTATCTCGGTAATGTTTTCGTGGCTTTCTAAGGGCTAGTCTGCTGTTAGCCTGTTAGCCAGTCTGAGGCAGAGCAGCTTTGTGTTTGAATCCACTATAAAGCCATGAGCAGCTCACTGAGATTATCTGTCTTTTTAACACTGATGGAAATGTGTGTGTGTGTGTGTGTGTGTGTGTGTGTGTGTGTTTTATAGTTATGTAAATTAAGTCGAAGGTGGCCAGGGAGGAAACATGCTTGTTTGAAGACTTATTCAAGCATGTAAATGGATGTATTGATAAAGAGGTGGATTGATACAGAGAGAGAAGGTAAATAGATGAATGGGAAATTGGATGGGTAGACTGATGAAAAGATTAGTCGAAGAGGTACATTTATACATGTATTTGGGTTTATTCATTTGCCAGATGCTTTTATCCAAAGCGACACTGAATTCAGTGTATATTTTCTCAATTCATGCATCCATTCATTGGGAATCGAACCCATGACCTTGGTACACATGGATGGATAGACCCAGATATGACTAGACATAACCATCATACATTTACTGAAAATATGTGAACACAAAATCACCCAAAGAGAAGATGTTTACATCAAAGATAAGTGCAACAGACAAAACACGGCCAAACAACCGTGATGGAAGAACAGTACAGAAATGATGCAGCTTAAGTGTTGCATTTCTTGTCAATTTGTATTTGTTATGATGGTTTATCAAGAAGTGTTTTCCAGTTTTACGGCAGCTCACATTTGAAGTGTCTGTGGTTGTTTTGAGTGTTTCCTGGAAGGAAGAAGTGTTTGCCACTAACGGACATGCCTCAGAGATCTCATCAGCAGTGTTGCAACACACTCACAGAGAAAGAGAGGGAGAGAAAGAGAGACAGTTTTTTAAATTTGTATTCCCCATTGAAAATTCAGCCAAATAAACCCAAGCACACTTTAATCATTCACATCTTCTCACGTGTGTGTGTGTTTTGTTCCTGTTGTGGTTTTTGTTAGTAGGTTCATTGTGTTGATTGTTTGAAATGGTCCAGTGGTTGAGTACAGGACACACACACACACACACACACACATACACACACACACACACACACACTGGTTTGACTAGTTAATGTGTGTGTATTGTTTATAAAGTACACATGCGTGTAGTCAGCCAATGAGTAAGTCAGTTTCCCTTTAGCTCAGCCCTAGTAAGTAGGGTAAAGTTTACTCCGCTGTGTTTGGACTCGAATGCTGCCTGTTTTTACAAAAGAATAGTGTGTGAAACCACTTTTACTGATAACGGTATAATAACTATGCTATGCTGTTATCACATGACCTCATTACATGGAAATTTAATTTAGGAAGTGGCGTCCAGTTTTTTTGCCAATCTAAGCTTGATGTAAAAAAACTGTAGTTTCTTTTGGTAGACTAAACTAAGGAGGTAGAGAACAAAAAAACTCTTTTCACATGCATTTTTTTTTTTTCATAGCAGGGAGTTTTCAGATTCAGCCTAAACTTAGTCAAAACAAAAATTAGTCAGACACCAGATATCATTTTTTTACTAGTGGGTGCAGGACACTATAGTTCATTTATGTAAGTGAGGATAGCAAAATAAAGTAAACTGTGACACATTATACCCCGAAATCCTTCATACAGTGGACTACCAGTAAAATTTATAAAACTTTGGGACCTAACTATTCAGACACCACAGACTCAACAAAATTAAGCATTGCTTGGTAATTTGTTGACCTATATTGGTATTATCCAATTGTGTAGTTAAATTTAACAGCTGACGGATATTCAACCGAATTCATTTGTGAGACAGTCTAACAGAAGGACGGACAAAACCAGTGAAATATCAACTGATTTAATAACTCCGAGTTCTTGTCATAATATATTACCATTTTCTAAACTATAGCGAATAAACTGTGATAATGTGAGAAATGTTGAAGGTGTCTGAATACATTTTGGTTTGACTGTATATAGTTCTCTTAATAGTTAATGCTCTTGGTGTGAACGGGCCTTAAATCTTTTCAGTATACATGGTTTATCAGGGGTTACTGGTGTTGTCGTAACTCTTTCCTCATATTCTGTGGTTAGTGTTTGTTAACTTTCACTGCTGTTTTTTGATGGCGAAAGAAAGGAAGTCGACCACACCTTCACTAACAGACACACGCCTGTGTTTACATTCTCAGCATTGACGTTCTCCATTTTATCCTGGAGTATCGGCCACGTCCAGATGGTTTCTCAAATGTATCTCCTTGTGAGTTGAACAGGTGTAGTCTCTCTCTCTCTCTCTCTCTGGTGTTGTGTAGTAGTGGTTTGATTGATTGTACCAAGTGCATGTCTAGGACAAGTGTCCCCTTTGGATCTCTACGGCTCTTATACGACGTATAGGTTCGGTGACAGATGAAGAGGTCAGAAAGCTCTGCTCTTAACCTTCTGATCTCATTCTGTGATAACATCAGGAGTGGAGAACAGCCCGGGACAGCGAAAGCTTACACGCTGTGGAAGGATGATCCGCCGTCGCCTGTATTTTAGTCTCGGGGAGCTTTGAATATCAACGTAAAGCAGGGGTGTAACGATACCCTCATGTCACGATTCGATACATATCACGATACGATATTATTGCGATACTCCAAGACGCATGATAAAATGCTAACTTAAATGTACTGTTGGTTAAAATGTTAAATTTGGTTTTACATTGGGGTGTAAATGAATAGGCTTGGACTTGGTGCTGGAAACTCAAAGCACAGGACAATAGTGACACCAGAATAACAATATTCATGATTCTGAAGCTGAAAACATTATTTTAGATGAATATGCTTGCACTCTTTCACTGAGTAGATATTTAAAATAATGTAGGCCACTTTTACTGGTAACATAAAACATTTATTTAGCATTATCAGGACCCACAAATATGTATAACATACTGTAGTTTAATGTAGTACTGACACTAAAACTCTCCCCCCCCCCAAACACACAGTAATATTTATTTTGGGTGAACTATACAAAATACATATCACTATCCATGATACATATTGTTGCATTTTTGTATTGCAATATATTGTGACACGATATGTTGTTCCACCCCTAATGTAAAGTCTTGCCTAGTTTTTCCTGGAAATCACTTATTCCATAAATCTATTACCTTAATTTCCATGGCCTCTTGCATCTGTGGCGGACGCAAGTGCAGTGCTGTTGTGTCGGTAAAACCAAAGGATGAATGATGAACCTGAATAAACCGGAGAAGCTGTTGCCGTAACCTGGAGACAGTGGTAAACATCTGACGCTGGTACTATCACAGTTCAGAAACATACACTACAGTGTGGAAAGAGACCTTCTGGAAAGGTTCAAATCAAAGGCATGCCAAGCCATCAAACTAAGTGCAAAAACAGATTCACTGACATGTTCGAGCTAATCCCAGAGCAGTGTCCACATGATGGCATATTGAGTTTGATTCGCTCTATCAGCTTGTGTGTCGATTCGCCGTCCCTTTCTGCACATAAGTGACCTGGTTTATTGTGTTGGTTTGGCTCTCTGTGGGCATGTTCTGTACACTCAAAACCGACTAGAAACTGACAGTAAGCATAATTGTTAAGTGTTTCCCTTTATGTAGGCTACACCGCAAAAACAAACTGAGAACCGTACTTAAATGAGTTTATTGCGGTTTCATGCATCGGTAAATGAAGACAACGGCTTAACAACTACACATTGGTCCTGCTAGCGTGAATAACACAGAAAATTGTACACAGAAAATGACAATGCAACAAAAGTGATGCCGCCACTGACTGCAGGCTTAAGGTGCGCTCGCATTTACTTTTTGCAGTGATATTTATCGAAATGCAAAATTCGTTGTGGCCTGGAATTTCACATTGCATCAGGTTCAAGATGGTAAACTCGTTCCTTAAAATTCCTAAAATGCCTAATAGTCCCCCTGTGGGAAAAAAAATCACGTTTTTAATGATGTTTATGTGGTGTTTTTAATGTGCTTTAAGACAAACCAATGTGTAAATTCATAAGTCGACAGCATTGCTGAGTAGTTTCTCCTTAAAACTGCAGTGAACCAAAGACGGTTTGAAATCGCTGGTGTTTCTGACGTCACACACTACCTTGTAACCAATCAGATCAACGTGTGATCGTCAACCAGTGGATCTCTGAGCTGAGTGAGTGAGTGAGTGGAGGCGGGGCTCATTTGCATATTCATAGAACCGCGTATACTAAATGAGGCAAAGCTATTTTGGAATTAAAATTCAAGCTATTTTAAGGCATGAATAATTTTTTTTTTCAAGGAAAAAACGATTAAATATGTCATTTTGATGATCAAATATGAGTTTTAACGGATACAATTATTGACTACAGGGGGACTTTAAGTAAATAAACTTAATTTAATTGAGAGAATTAAGTTATGTGAACTTGGCAGTTCCACAACTTAATTTGTCCAATTATGCATGAAGTTTGAAATTCGCCAAACAACAGTGTGACTGCACCTTTAATCTGTAATCAAAGTTCTTGGTTAGTTTGTGTCAATTTTTTATGCTACCTAGCCAAACAGCATTTTTGGCCGTCTGAACCAATGCCGGCAATCACCAGATTACAGCACTTTAGTTTAACGACATTCCACAACCCAACAAGTGCCGATTCAACATGTTCAATAGGGGAAACCAATCGCTGACAGGGGTAACGCGCTGATCTGACAAAACCCGACAAACGCGTCTGTTGTCATTGGTCGGCATCTGTTGCAGTTCTGGTTTCATGAATGCAGACCTTTCAGGGTGATTCACTTTGCATTATTCTCGTCAAGAACTGCCCATGTACCGTAGATGGGAAGAGACCATTTGACTGGGGCATTGTGATATTTTTCCACATTATACAATCTGAAATCAGGTGTAATGTGCGAAGAATCAGCTTGATATGCGAAGAATGTGTTTCAAATGGGGATGCACGATATATCGGCCACCATATTGGTATCGGCCTGTTCATTTGAAATGTTATCGTTATCGTCCAGATAAGAAAATTCGGTCGATAGGCTATATTAAAGCCGATAAATAATGGATTATTTCCTTCAGCTGAGACGCTTCAGATGCGCACTGTTCGCCGTGGTGTTTTTGAATTATGCTTGAAATATGATTGGAATCACTTAAAAAAAGGAAAACACAGTTCAGTGCAAGTCTACCATACAGGCTACATATTACATAACATTATAATTGTGTGTTTGGGACAAACATTTTTTGAAAAAAATTGGATTTAGATTTATCGGCCAATATATCGGTTATCGGCTTTCAAATATAAAGAGTTATCGTATCGGCCACATTTTTCATAATCGGTGCATCCCTAGTTTCAAAGATACATTTTTACGAAGCTTCAAATTTGGGGTCTAGGGTTTACGTTGGGAAGCTCATTGTAACAGCCGGGAATTTTAAGACCAATAAAAACCTTTCCACTTCCTAATTCCCAGAACTCCAAGCCAATTAGATTACAGCTGTCAGATTTTGTTTTTAGCATTTTTGTATGCAAATATGCATCATGTAGTGCATGAATAATCCAAAATACAGGGTTGGACTCATTGGATGCTGGGTTTGTACATTGAGGAGCCCTCTTTAAGCAGTTAGTGCCAGTGTTAATACAATACAGATGCTCCGTGTTACAAGCGAGCATTGTTTAGAGCCATAACCGTGTGTGTGCAGTCGGAAATGAGCAATAGTCCCGCACTTAAATGAGAACAATCTCTGCACACATGATGGCGTTTGGGGGGGAGGGACGGAGAAGATTTGATGACAAAGAACCGTGTGGTTCTGTAGCAGCGGAAACAATGGCGGATTGGCGAGTTCATCTTGATATGTGTGTCACGTCAAGCCGCAGACATTCCTGCACTAGCCGTGGCTGTTGTTAAACAAAACGAGAGAACAGGAGAAAGCCTGGAGAGGGGGAAGGGGCCGGCGGGCGGGGGATGAGAAGAGGGCGCTCGGTGTGAGGGAAGTGTTACCAGACGAGGGGTTACCAGACACTCGTGTGCTGGGCAATATTTTGAAACCATGATCGTTTAAAGGCCATACGTTGTGAGATCAGACTCAGAATACGTGAATCATATGCTAATCCTATTCGGAAAACATTGATACGATACTCTTGGCTTGACACGATGCTCAGTGAATCATTTATTCAAAATAGATTGTGTATACCCAATGACTTGAATACAAAAGTCAATTTTACTGGTATAACGAAGGAAGAGGGTTCATAAGAAATCTAGACAAGAAAAACTTTGTTTGTACTTAGGGCATAATACAATTGTGAGAAACTTGCTGAAGAAAAAAAAACATTAAACATGAAATTATGAGTATGATTATAAAATATCTGAGTCAAGATTACTAGATTAGTTCAGGTAAAGTGTCATTTGGTGGAACTCCCGCAGAAATGCAAAGATATTTATGAATTGATCATTAATTAAATACCTTTTTTTTATCTTGAGAAATATATATTTAAAATATTTATTTCAAAAATATTTCAAAAATCGGAAGTATTGATGAAGATGTGTACGACTCTCATATATTCAAGGGAAAATGCTTGATTATAATGACATTTTTAGAGTCTACAAATGTTTTTTTGCTCAGTTTATCGTCCACGAGACTCAGATCTCCTCAAAAAGCTCCATTATTTGAGGCATCATTGATGTTCTCATTGCAAACAGTGCTACGAAACCCAAGTGTAAGCTGTAGTAATCCATGTTGGGGAAGGTTACTTTTAAAAGTAATGCGTTACAATATTGCCTTATTCCCTAAAAAAGTAACTAATTGCGTTACTTTTTGTGGAAAGTAATGTTACGTTACTTTTGCATTGCTTTTTCTCACCTAGGCTGCATGGGCTTGCTTGTTTTGTTTTTTAATAATACAAATAAAAAGTAATTTTTGGCTAATGTAAAGGCCAAAAGTGAAATGAATAACGAGTTACTTGCGTTACTTATTTGAAAAAGTAACGTGTTGTAAATTTAACAATAATGCACGCGACACTTTGCTAGTTAGTTACTTGAAAAAAGTAATCTGATTACATGACTCCAACACTGGTAGAAGTAGTGATGCTTTTCTTGGGGAGCAAAACCAGGTTTATGTACTTTTCAATCTCACATTTTCCTGGAGCTCTGAGCCCGTATAGTGTATCAGTTGCTAGAGTCCTGCACAGATCGCATGTGCCGATTTAGAAACCCTCTTTTAGATCACAGAGTGCTTGAACCGACTGACCCGTGGCCGGGAGGAGGGAGGAGAGAGCGGCGTTTCCAAACCAGAGTTCCTCTGCCCGTTCATGTTGCCTAACCTCCGTCTCATCCCCATCTCTTTCTCTCTCTCTTTCCACAGACGGCTTTGAGCTCGTTTTTCCAGGAGTCCAACATCCCCAGTCATCACCAGATGGTAAGTGTGTTCAGCATGGAGAGAGAGAAGGGAAGAAAAAAAAAGTAATACTGTGTTCAACATCCTGTCATTGTCATGAGACTGCCCCGTTCCCAACATAGCATCTGAGAGAATAATGAGGGGCTGAACTTCCTGAAGCCCACGGATATTATTAACGAGCCTGAAATACACTAGTCGGGGCTCGTAGACAATGCTGTTAATTGTTTTTCATTCCAAACCATGACGTAATTTCTGTCGCAGCGTGATTTCAGTAAACGGCCTGTGTGGAATAGGAAGGAAGTTTTGCGTTGTGAATTTTAGTGTGTTTGCACAGGATTGGTCTTTATTTTTATTTTTTTCTTATGAATAAATACCATTTTCTATTATGGATCTGTTTTAAAACTTACTGGTTCACACAGAACACGCTCCGTCTCTGGCCCGCGTTAAAGTCCTCTCTTCGAATTTTGGATGGGACTTGGAGTTACAATTCTTATCACTCGACGTCTGTGATTTCATGCACCGAGGTGGGAGTGTGTGTTTTCTAGACGTGTCACGTATGTCTTTTTAACTTATTATTTGTTGATAAAAAACCATTTAAGTAAACTTCACGAGTTTTTGGCAGCGGCTGCTTGTAATAAATAAGTGAGCAGAGAAATCCAGACAAGTATCTTACTCTTACCCGACACTGATATTAAAATTGGCAGTTCGCAGTTTTCGTGATTTTGCTCTATTTATTAATTTTATGTATTATTTTTTTCGTCGGATACCATCCATATCGAAACTAAATTAAAACATGCCGAAGATTGGTGTGCCGACGGTGGCTCAAGTAGGTCAAAAAACACACACTGTAAAAAAACTTAACTCATTATTTTGTGTTATCTTTTTGCATGTTTTTTTTTTTAGTTTAACTAACTTATTTCGATAAGTTGAGGACAAGAAAACTTAAAATTTCTTGTTGTCTGGACAATCTAGTTATCTCTACACCAAAAAATAAGTTGAAATAACTAAATTGCTAAAATATTTTTTACAGTGCATGAGGAGAAGCGTTAGGATAATTAGTCCCTAATTATAAAATAGAATAACGGGATTAAAATCGCAAAGTATGTCTGTGAAACACGAATTTCGCTAACTACCACCTGGAAAGCTAGTCCCGTCCGAATAGGGCTTTTGTAATATTTTCACACAAATGACATTTTTGGAAATGATTGCAATGCAGTTTGTGTGCAAGTCCGAAACCAAGATCGGCCAAAAAAAAAAAAAAAAAATGTTTTACCTATTACATATGAATTCTACATTACCATATTAAAGCTGGTTTCAAGCCCTTTCCAAATCTGTTTTAATTTTTTTCATCGTTTGTCGATAACAAAAGCTTACGAATTCGAAATTTATCCTGTGAAAACATATATATGAAAATATATTATATGGCCGGCCGACTTCTAAAAACAGGTTGCGCCACAATAATTATTTGCGCTCGCACAAATGCTCCCAAATACATTTCCGAGCCTTGTGATATATAAACAGTGCTCATCAAGTTTTTAACAGTTATTGTAAGACTTTTATAGTAAATGTGTGGTGTACAGTGAAGCCAAAGACTAATTTCCACGCGTGGACAATAAAGGAAACTAAACTAAACTAAACTTTTAGCATTTAGCTAAAGCTTTTCATAAAGCGTCATTTCATCCCCCTTTTAGTAGACAAAAAATATCAGGGAAGACTAGACTAGTCTATAGACTACAGAGTAGTCAACGGCATTTAAGAAGTATCAGAGCCTTTAAAATCGGCATGACACAGAAGTTGCGATAGTCTTTTCTTCTCTATTGTGATCTCGAACAAGAGTAGATTAAGGGCGGGGCTTGAGTTTCTCCATGGGGATTTGATTGGATGGTTGTGGTTCGCTATTGGCTGATCTCGTGTGAGTGACAGGTTGCTCCGCCCTCACGCCAGTAAACGCATCATCAGAGAAGAGAAGCGCTGCAAGAGGGAGGGAAAGTCATTTTGATTCATAGATTATGAGACACATGATTTTAAAATGAAAAGATGTGCAGGGAAAAATCATTTATATATATTTATATATGGCAATATTCCCCAAAAAACAAAATAAAACAAGAATTAGCTATTTTGATTTCATGGTGACTTTAAAAGAGTCTTATCAATCGCTGATTTGAAGCTGTGTTGGACTAAACCCTCAGCGATGGGAGCAGATCTCAGCCTCAGTCATGTGGTCTGGGGCTGATGAAGTGATTTTTGTGTCTGTACACACACACACACACACACACACACGCACACACGCAGCTGTTTCTAAACCTCATCAGACGGCTGAAACATGAGCCGAGCCGTTTCCTCTCGGACTAAAACAGACGTGCAACCCCTGTTCTCCAGTCTGCCGAGGGTTACGCAATCAGTTTGTCTTCTCACAGAACCAGTCCCCGTGGACATGCCGCGATACGATTCCTCCCTCGACATGTGCGTGCCTGCGTGTGTTTTCCCATCCCTCTTTTAATCTGGCTGTATGTGTAGAGAGTGTGTACTTTGAGGAACGCAGAGGCAGGAAGCGTAGCTGTTTGTTTTTATTTCGAGAGCAGCCATTACATCATGCAGCTGGGGACCATATATGGGCAAAGGGGCGGAGCTAAGCCAAGAGCAGGATCTGATTGGATCAGAAGCATTTGTGTATGTGTTTGTGTATCATACAGACACACTCAGTAACAGCACAAAGGCATTTATAAACACACGGGACCCATTTCCTAAGGGCCCTTCTGTTTTGTTCTCAACACAACTATACATTTGTTTTTATCCGAAGTACAGTTTCCTTTTTTTAAACAATTTGCTGTAACGATAAAGCAGAATTATTATTATTTTTCCTGAGATTTAAATATTTGCTGGTGAAGTATAGTAAGTTGTCAGCAGCACCAGGGCTCGTATCGGCCCACGCCTGCTTCGACTCTCTCTTGAGGCAGTGCAGAGTCCCTCTGGTCTCAAACGGGTCCTTTGACACGCTGTCTGTAGGTCATGTTTACGCTGGGGCCGGCACACACTGTTATGACTGTCCTTGAAAAGGGAGTCTCGTAGCAAAACACTCCACCCTGCGCTGTTCAAACCACTCACTCGGGCCCGCAAACGTATACGCTGTTCGTCCGCTCAAATAGTGTGTGTTCTCTGTTGGCCCTCTTAACGTCCACTGTGGTTATTGACAGCATTTGTGACATTTCTGCGTAAAGGGGCTACATGTAGAATTCAGAAACTCTTGTTATTAGCGACACCGGTGGCCGTTGAGTGAACTGCAGCCACTTGTGAACACACATATAACGTAAAAGAGACTGAACGTGATTCAAGGCCCTGATATGATAGTTTGATTATATAGTATATTTGAGACTATAGGCTATATAGATCTGGATGTGAGAGACTATAGTTTTATTAATCCTTTTTCTTTGCATGAAACATTGACATTACACCACAGCTCTTTCTCCTTCGATGTTATCCTGAACATTGTATAAGCATTAATAACTTCATGCGTCACTGAACGGAAGAGAGGCTCTCGGGAAGGTGTGTAAATGTCATATCCTTTTGATTTTCCCGGCTAAAACGTCCCGAGTCCTTCACATTAATATCAGTCTGCAGGATTTCCTAGACAACATAGGAAGTCAAGGAAGGTCTCATTTTTTTATTTTTATTTTTTTTTTTTTTTACAAGCTGATTAATACATTAAAATTCGTACATATAGCCCCTTTAAGGCTATTTTAGCTCAAATAATCGCTAATATTTGTCTCAAATTGTCGATGGGGATTTGATTGGATGGTTGTGCTGATCTCGTGTGATTGACAGGTTGCTCCGCCCTCACTCCAGTAAACGCATCATCAGAGAAGAGAAGCGCTGCAAGAGGGAGGGAAAGTCATTTTGATTAATAGATTACGAGACGCATGATTTAAAATGAATGAATAATGATGTCCACGGATAAATCATGTATTATAAACCCTGCAATATTCCATCAAAAACGAGAATTGTCCATTTTGATTTAATGGTGACTTTAATGTAAAATAATTCTTCATGTAAAATGTAGTTTAGTAGTATCCAAGTATATTTCTGTTTAATAATTCCAATAAATGACTATTGTTAATGTCTTAAAATCTTAAGATCAATCTAAAAAACAATAGTTTCATGAAGCTAGCACAGAATAAGCCAAATAAACTTTAAAAACATATTAGTAAGGCATTTGCGTGATGGCTGCCACTTGTTGAATTGCATTTTTTTTCTATTTACTAATCAAATTACAAAGATTAATTTTGCCATACGAAACGCATAATTCTGAGGACATGAACAGGGTTGTAATTTCGACAAAAACGTGAACTTTTAACTACTTCTATCTTCAAACTACTAACGAAAAATGCAGGAACTGCATTGAAGCTAGGCCTGACTTTATAATTATGTAGCCTAAAAGTTTAAATATATTCATCTATTTATGAAAATGCATAAATTCATGTTACCTAAAAAAATAAAAACAATATTTAAAAACAGCTGAAAAATGCAGTTAAGCTACGCTAGCAGTGTTGCTAGTTTGAGCGGTTTCCCCCCAGTTTTAAGTCCTGCTTTTGTGATCTGTAAATGTGATAAACTGTAACCATTAAAAATAGCTTGTTACTGCGAAGAGCGACACTATTTTGGAAACTGCTACTATGCAAATTTAGTCAGTGCATTTTAGTGATTTTGAAAACGGCCACTGGATACAAAAACATGAAGCAAAACACAGAACGTACGATCCGTTGGAGGAGTGTCGTTTTCCAGTCAGTGTTGAAGTGGAGATGTTGACCTTTCAGTGTTTATATCCACACTGATGGCCTACTTTGTTAAGTAGTCTGTTGACTGATCATCATAGCTGCTCAACTCCACACACTGACGAACCCTTCCTCCTCTTATATCAGTCAGCTGATCTCAGTGTGTGTGTGTGTGTGTTGTGGTTATTAAAGGAGCAGTTATCAGGAGCTCAAACTGCTGTCAATTATACCTGGCCTACTTTCCTTCATAACAGCAGAGAGACGGACTAAGACCACCAGTGCACACATAAAGTCAGGCTTTATGGGAATCATGGGACTGATGCTCAGCACAATGCTGTTGAGTTTGAACATCTGACCCTGCTTACTGAGCATATACTTCTGTTTAAGGGTCCCATAAAGCCTCATCTGCATCTGACATGCGCATCTGTGTGTGATTGCACACTTCCGAACCGCCTTTTCCAGACCACTGGAGAAAACTCCTTTTCAGTACACGATGGTCAGCCAATCATACGAGTTATTTACGAATGGAAGTCTTAAAGGTACAGGAGAAAATTCTGCCCTTATACTTTTTTCTTTTTTTGGGGGGGATGTCCAAAATGCCTTAAAATAGCTTGAATGTAACTCTACACCCTTGCCTCATTAATTATACGTGGTTCTATGAATATGCAAATGAGCCCCGCCTCCACTCACTCGCACCGGCTCAGAGATCCACTGGTTGACGATCACACGTTGATCTGATTGGTTACTGTAGTGTGTGACGTCAGAAACACCAGCGATTTCACACCGTGTTTTTGAGACTGTCTTTGGTTCACTGCAGTTTTAAGGAGAAAATACTCAGCAATGCTGGCGACTTATGAATAATTTACACAAGGCTTGTCTTAAAGCACATTAAAAACACCACATAAACATATAATTTAAACTTTAATACATTATAACTAAACCTTATTGTGACGTATTACCACAGTTTCTTTACTAACAAAGTTTTTTTTTTATGGTTTTAGCTTGAGTTAAAGGACAAGTTCGGTATTTTACACTTAAAGCCCTGTTTCAAGATCGTTTCTGATGAAATAGAACGGTTAAGATTGAAATTTGGACACATGCTGCTGTCCCGAGAAATTTCGGTTTCTGTGATCGAAGTCCACAGTAGTCGATTGTCGAGTTCGCGCGCGGGATCATTGGTCACTAGATAACTAAGGATCGCGCACGCAAACTCGACAATCGACTACTGTGGGCTGCCACCAAAAACAGGAAGAAAATGGACTTGGACAAAAACTACGATAAAACCCGTTGGAAAGCATCTTTTGCAGCGATTTTTGTGTCCAAATTTTAATCTTAACCGTTCTATTTAATCAGAAACGATCTTGAAACAGGGCTTTAAGTGTAAAATACCGAACTTACCCTTTAACTAAAATAACCCTACATGTTTTAAACTGGATTCTTCACAAACTGATCTGATGATTGTATGTGTGTGTGTGTGTTTAGATGTGCACTCCACGCAACACCCCAGCCACGCCACCCAACTTCCCCGACGCCATCACCATGTTCTCCAAGCTGAGGACGTCCGAGTCCACCGGCACTTCTTCCGCCCAGGTGTCCATGGCGTGTTCCCCCCCTCCTCCGCCCCCCACACACTCCTCCTCACAGGGTTTCGGCTCCTTCTGGGCCTCCTCGCCGCCCAACCAGCCCGTCTGGCTGCCCCCGTCCTCTCCCACCGGACACCACACACTCCACCACCACCACCACCACATGCACCAGCCGCTCACGTGGCCCCCCGTGTCCCAGCCCGCCGGCGGCCCGCAGACGCCCGTCGTGTCAGCCCTGACCGGCCGGAGATGAGACTCCCGAGGGGGGGGGGACGCCCACTGAGACTTTTGGATGGCCGATGGTGAAAGACACGGTACTCTTTCTTTCAGTTTTCTAAAGATGAACAATCTTCTCTTCCTTTCGGAGATCTCGTTTTTTTTTTTTTTGTTGTTGTGTGTTTTCTTTTATCTACCGTCGATTTTCATTTCTAGTCCGATCTTGGGAAAGAACCACTATGAGAGAAAAAAAACAAAAAAATTAAGGAAGGTATGAAAAGAGGCGCCTAAAGACGTTCAACTCTCCACCGGCGAGCCACGGATTCAGGCCGGAGAGAGCGAATCTTCGGCCGCCGCTCTTTTGTTCTCGCTCCTCCTCCGTGTCGGAGACACACACTCGCAATAAAGCGGACGACGGACTGTAAAGATGGAGGCCGCATCATGTGGTCGGGCTGTTCTGCGTCCCGGGAAGAAGAAGCAGGAGGAGGATGAGGAGGATGATGTTTCTGTAGAGGTAGTTGTTCTGTTGAGTTCCTAACAGAGGCTGTTATACGACTATCGTATGTTTGTTTCCAAACGCACAAGGCCTCAGACATAACGGAGATGCTGAGTTGAAGTTATTGTGAATCATAAAAAATAAATCTTTGTTCTAGATATATATATATATATATATATAAAAACGGGAAATGACCAGGAACAGTTTTGCAATAATCCTGGTCAGAATTGTTTCAGATGAAGACGCCCTGATTTCGTTTGGTTTATTTTTTTTTTTCAGTAATGATGACTTCTTTAAATGCAATGTTTATTTTAGTTTTTTTGTTTCATAAGTTCCCAACATTTATCGTGTACATCAGGAAAGATTCTTGTGTTTAAACTAAAACTGTGGTGGAGAAATACAGACTCAAGCTTTATATATATATAAAAAAAAAAGTGTTTTTTTTTTTTATTTCCCCTGCGGAAAACTATAAATACTTCCTGTTTGATATGTAATGAGCGGTGTGACGTTTAGAGGTCCAGCTCATGGGATCCACACTACCTCTGATCGGACCTCGCGACGGCTGTGTGTGTGTGTGTGTGTGCGTGTGTGTGTGAAAGAGAGAGAGAGACTCGAATACCGCTGTGTGAAACCCATCGGACTGGACTCGGCAGTCTCAGTGGATTTAGCATCACTTCTTGGCTTTTCTGAAGGTGTAGAGCGGGAAGGCTGAGAAGATTTGAACGTTGATTGGCCCGTTTCTTTAGTTTCGCATGACGTCACTTCCCTTCATTCGTTCATTTTGGCGTTTGTGGTTTAGTGCGAGTCCGTGCATCTCACTCGCAGAGACCGACACCAAGGCTGTGAGGCGAGACACGATCTGCTCTGGTGTGTCGCTCGTTTTTAGAGGATGGACAAATTTGTGCTCCAGACACGTTTTTTTTTTCTTGAAAATTACTATAAATTTAATAAATTACTATAACTAATAAATTGTTCTCAAAAGCAATCTTGTGTAAATTGACATTTTTAATTCAGTAGTAATTTGATTTATTGATGTGTACAGGAATTTGTTTTGCTTTAACACACACACACGTACATTTGTTCATCCATTTCCGTTGAAACGAAAGTTGAAATCTAATTTGGTTTTGCAAACTATTTAACCGCGAACAAACTATGTGTACATTCTCAGATAAATCGTCTGATTTGGTTTGAGCACAAGCCGAATTAATTTGTGAATGTTCATATAATCATTCTTGGGTAAACTTTCACGACAGTTTAGGCATGAATGTTTCCACGAACAATTTACATGCATTTTTTCTTCTCGTTTTGCGAGAGACGAGGTCCGTTGAATCGCCTCACAGCTTCGACTTCATCTGCGTCTGTGTCGTGGGTCCGGTCAGGGAGAAATGAGTTTCAGCATTGGCCATTTTCATGAAATCACAGAGTAGACCAGCCTCTGCATTTCGGCCCAGAAAATGCATGTGAAACGCGTAAAGTACCCTTGGTTTTGTAAAACATGGGTGGGTCGATATGACACATAATTGTTTGGTCTTCCAATTGCTTTCGCTGTTGTTTGCCAAGTAGAACGAAACCTAAAATGCTGGTCTGTGAAGAAGATGTGTGCTGTGAGAGAGTAGGTCACTTCCTGCTAAGAGGAATGCGAGTGTGAAGTCAAACACACGTCTCGAGTGCCTTGAGGTCCGAGAGCTCTCCATTTTATTCAGCTGTCGCTCCGTCCCACTCCCACAGCAACAGCAGGGCCAACTCTCTCCAATGCCTTTCTCTCCAGTCAAGCAGTGACGGTTTGAACAGCCGGGCTGCCGTAGATCTCAGAGCATCGGGATGTCATCGACACCACTGGACGGTGATTCAGTTCGTTGGGGACGTTTTTGTTTTGGACTGATACACACACACACACACACAGCGAGTCATTAGCAATCCCTTCATCGAGGAAACCAATTCAATCTGGCGAACAACCTTTTGTATCGATTTCCCTCCTGTACTATCTGTTCTTTTCCCTCGTTGAGATTTGTATTTATATGTCTGACAAAAAAAGCTATGATCTGAAACCATTTTGGAGGTCATCGTGTTTATATTAAGGTCATAATAAACGATTTAATGACTAGTGTGATTTGTGTTATTTGTCTTGAAAGTAACTCGACTTGTCGTGACTGAAACTAGGACATGCTTACACAAGTTGAATGTGATGTAAGCCTGATGTATCATGAGATGGTTCACCGTCGTCGATCCAAACCCTTACCAACATAGAAGATGTTTGGATGAATGTTCACGCTGCTCTTTTCCACAGACAGTTAAAGTGAATGGGGCTCTGAAGAGGGGAATTTGCGCAGCTTGTTTTATTAGGCGAATTGTTCATAGCAATCATTCATAAGTCCATTCTTTTGTAATTTGCTGCATAAAATTTGCACAAATTCAAGTTGTACAAATAACTATTTCCAGATCCTCTGTAAAATTGTACCACGGAATTTAAACACAGAGAACAAATTTGATTTGTTTTAAAACATTGTTTCACTGCTCATTAGGCTTGTTTATAGTCAATGGTACAATTTAACCGAGAATGGATTTGCAAACTGTTTACACATTCTTGGTTAAATTTTAGGGTTGAGTTTAACAGAATGAAATAAAAAAATTGTCATGAAACCATTCTTGGGTAAATTGTTTTATGACTGTTATATACTGTACACACACGAAATGTGTATGTATATATATATATATAAATATATTAGGCAGGTCTGTTTAGTTGTGTATTTACTGTGCCCTCAGCTAATATTGGCAGAGGCGGCAGTGAAAATAAATCAGCATTGTTTATTCTCTTGATCTTTCATTTGAAAAAATTCACAAAAATCTAACCTTTCATTGAAGTAAAACAATTGAAAGTGGGCGGAAAATCGCATTATGAAATAAATGTTTTTCTTCAAAACACGTTGGGACCAATTATTTCAACCTTCTTTTCCCCAAGATAACAGCTCTGAGTTTTCTCCTATAATGCCGGATGAGTTTGGAGATACAGAATCCCTCCAGATCCTGCAGATTCACAAGTTCATGTTTGAGCTTCAGCCCACTCATCTTCTATAGGGGTCAGGCCTGGGACTGGGGCGGTCATGGCAGAAGCTCATTTTGTGCTCAGTGACACATTTTTATGTTGATTTCGATGTTTGTTTTGATCCAATCTTTTGCTGCACATCAGAACTATATTCTTTCTATTACTCATTGTGAAGGATGATTAAGGGAATTTGGCCTTTGTGTTTCCTCATATTTAAACTCCTGTGAAACAAGAAGTCATAGCTAGACAACTTCATGTTCCTAGTCACCCTGGGGTGCTAACAAAAAGTGTAAATATTAATGCTAATATACTTCAGAGATATTTTACTCATGAGAATTTCTCGGGGTGCCAATAATTGTGGCCAACGTGTTTTGGAAAAACGTTATTTCGTAATGTGATTTTCCCCCCACTTTCAATTATTTTACCTCAATGAAAGGTTAGAATTGTGAATTTTTGGAATGAAAGATCAAAAGGATAAACAATGCAGATTTATTTTCATAAGTCACCTTTGCTCATATTGACCAATATTAGTGGAGGGCACAGTATGTATGTGTGCATGTATATACATAAATGTATATATATAAATATATATATATATATGCACATGTGTGTTTGTGAGTGTGTGATCTGCACGTGAAAAATGTATTGTGACACTGTACTTTTGTACCTTTTACCTCAGATTATTCCACAAAAAAAAAAAGGAAAAATTGGACATGGAAGTAAATACACAAGGTCATCAAATGATTAGTTCCAAACAAAACTTAAACCAACTGCATTGTAATTCAACACAAGACCTCAATTATGTGTATGATGAATGTTTAATGAATTGACTTTTTTTTAATACATGTGTGACATTCAGTGCAATAATTCACTGCGTATAGAAACATGCTTTCAACACTGGTGCAACAGTGGGACAGATTACGAACATAAACCGCTTAAACTGACTGACAGAAGCGCTGGTTTATCACGTTTCAAGAGGTAGATCACTGCTGAAACAGACATCAATCTATTCCAGATACTTCACACTGGTTTGAACTGACTGAAAGCACTGGGTCTGATTCAGATCAACACTGCGAGAAGGTTAAGATTGGGAAAGCGAGTTACTAACCACATGGGACGACCAACGATATTTCATGTATTTGATATAACTTGACACGTATGCATAAAAAGGTTTATTAAATCTTATTTAGATTGACGTTACAGATGAACACGAACAGAGCTTGTGTCTCGCCCTGCTGTAAACATTTCATTCAAACAATGGAGCGGCTCCTATTGGAGGAGCTCTACAGTGATGTCACCGGCTCATCTTCTGATTGGTCGAGGTCTTTGTTGCGCTCTGTGGTGGTGTCATGGAATGAGGACTGGAGCGGGACGTCCTGCGACAGGCAGTCCATGGAGGACGGGGGCCGATCCCTCACTGAGATACTGGAAGCTGTGGTAGTGGAGGGCAGAGGTGAAAGGTTAAAGGTCACTCAACTGCTTCAGGTACAACTGGAGGTCGTAAACCGGCAAACGTGCAATGCATCTGTCAGACACTGACCTTTAAAAATGCTATATATATATAAATTAAATGTACTTTTGTGCAGTAAAGTCACCGCCATGACACTAGGATGTTTATACTAGAAATTACATTAAAGCATATGTTAGTTTAGTTGACCATAAATGCTTGTTAGTTCATTCAGCAGTAACTTTAACCATATTTCAAAGACAGTAGAAGTCATTTTTAAATGACATATACCTTGTGTTATGTTGCGGGTCAATTTGACCCGTTTCGATTTTCAAGTTGTTGGAAATACTGGTTAACCTTTGTTTTTTTTCTTGATATTTTGTGACTTTTTCTCATTTATCATGATGAACATGCATGCAAAGTTTCAACATGCTGATGTGTTTTGACATATACAAACAAAATTACTGTTACGCTTGTGATGTTCGCGGGTCAATTTGACCCTCATAGACAGCCATTCAAAAGCATCTGTACATACACAAAATAAAAACATTTATTTTCTGTATGTAAGGGCACTTCAACTCCAGTTCTAACGTGCAAGTGCATCTAAAAGTGCTCTAACCCTAACCAAACACACTTGAAAAAGATAAAATTACAGTGTTCAGAATTATTAGCAAATTACA